GCCTATTTCATTAGCATGCCCGGCGCCAATGACAGTACGGAATTGAGGCCATGTTGTATTTGTTAGTGGAGCGCCGGGCAGTGGTTATCAAGGTCACTTGGTGCACTCGGTGTGACCCAATGTGTTAGTGTTGTTCACATAGTCCCGGGCCGAGGATGACCCCGTGATCATATGCTCATGAGGCCTGCAATGCCATGTGAGAACGGCTGTCGTCCAGGCTAATCACGGGTTTCTCTGAAGGAGCCTATCCCTATCGGAGCGGTATTGTATCGGGGCGATCGGTTGATATCAAACCTTGGCCTGTGAATACCCACAGCGCCGCTGGATGCACAGACACGCAGACCATCTCCCCAGAAGGGCTCCGTGGGAAGGCCGAGACCGCCGGCTGACGCAGTCGGCTCTGATCCTGCTGAGCCTAACACAACGACGGACGTACCTGTTAAGGTCGCACTAGAATCGCGTCATTCGCACAGGGTTACTCTGTATCGGGGAACATTGCAGTAGCCAGATTCGTGGGTATATAGAGAGAACGATGGCAGGGACCTCGTCGCCTTTGGTCATGATGGTTGATGTGTGACGCTTCTGGTGATTGCTTCAGGAGGCCTGCGCGACGACAGCGTCGTTATGGAATGCGGTTGGTAATGACTTGAGCGTGGCTCGCAGGAGTGTTGTTGTGGGTTTGTTTATAACCCGTTGGAATCACGTAGATTAGAAATCGGTGGCATTATTGGAATACCCTTATCACTCTGCTAAATGAACAAACAATTTCCTGATAATCCAGTGATCGCTTTAATCCTTCTTTTCCTGTGTCAACAAACGAGGGCCACGGAATGTGTGGAGAAGAATGAAAAGAATTGGGGGTATGTCGTTGACGGGGCGACGACATAAGCAAAGGAGGTTTTGGGAGCTCCTTATAAACCTTGATGCGGGCCGACCAAAAACCCCTCTGTTAGGTATTGCAGAATGAGTGGCCTAATAGGTTTTACTAATCCATTATGAGAGGTAGTTGTAAATATCAGACTAGCACGCTCATTGACTCCTGGCTCGATGTACAGAACAAGAGCCTAGAACTGTCGGAATCGCGCTAGTCATGGGAACTGGTCGAAAAAAGGTATGGGTCCGCCGGAGTCGTAATCCGGCCGGAAACATGCCACGGGGGCCAACTGATACCACACACGGAGCCGGCCAGACGTGCAGGCTGGAACTCCACGGAAGCTTCGGCGGCCGGAGTCAGACTCAAGAATCCACCCGGCTGGTACGGGACACCTTAAAAGGTACCGACCCAGGCAGGCCTCGTCAAATTTGGTGAAATCCATGCACACAGGGATGAGCACCGAGTCGTAGTTTGCCCATCATCGCACGGAGACTTTAGAGCTTGAGTCTGTCTCCATACCTAGGTACCCAAACACCTTCGATCTTGGATCAACAGAAACTATCAGCTAATACCGCGTCATAGCCGCCCAGACATTCCCGCGAGGTAGGAGTCTCGCACGTGTCTCGTCCGTCCCGGACTGGCCTCCACTTCTTACAAACGGTCTGGGCCCTGGGGCAGCCCGAGGGCCGAGGCGGGCATATCGTGGGATGAAGCTGCCGGTAATCTGAAGGCTATCACCTCGAACGGAAGCTAGCAGGCATCTAGTGTCACTCGTCTCATTCCAAATGAAACAGCTCACTGAAGTGCTTCGAGACCGTCTTGCGCTCGTCCGTCCCATCGTTAGGTTATGGCGGGTAATAGCAGTACCTAGCTAGCTAGCAGTGGTGTGAGGACCGCCAAGAATCGCTCGTTTCGAATGGGAGATGCCTCTCATGGAGCAGGACACCAGAGCATCACTTACTCAAGCAGTCCGGACCAAACGCAGCTCCGCGCTTCCTTGCCCATTTCCATAATGGCGGACGTATCGACGGGTGTCTCCTGTAGAAGGTCGAACGGGGGTCCATTGCAACACCACGCCAGCGCTGCCGGTTTTTCAGCTGCTCTCGCGAGTTTCCACTTGGGTTGAAGAAACCAGTGAGGTAGGTAGTTGAACTCAACAGTCCTTTTGAGTCAGGAAGTGGTGACGCAGTTCAACAGCTGGAAAAAAAGAGCTGGACTCAGCTGTGATTTGAACCTGAGACCTTTCGGCAGTTTGCCTGTTAAACCTCTAGTGTTAGTTTGTGCGCTTAATGCTGCTCCACCAGAAAACCATACCACCGCAGGGAGCGAGCGAAGCTCTTCGCTTGGGGAACCGCGAAACTGCCACACCAACGGGAGAGAATTTACACATGGAGACGTAAAGAACTAAAACCACTTCCTCATCCCATCTGGGAATCTAGCCCGATGGTGAAAGCGATTGACTTTGAAGAAGCTTTGCACAATAGCGGTAATCAATTCGAGCAATCTATATTCTTTATGTCATTAATTGGGTATCAATCTATCTTCTATGGTATATATAAAATGGTATCAAAACGACTCTCCTAAAAACTTCTCCCCAGTCTAATTATCAGTTCCGGCGCTCTCACATTTCTCCTTGCAAATCCGACCAACCTCTTCCGAGCTCGACGGCCCGCTGGCGTTACGCTGGTGAATGATGTGAGCATCTTTCACCGTCCGGAACACCGACTCGGTGCTATGAAAGATCTCGTCGAGCTCCTCCAGTCTCCTGCCATTGGTCTCTGGGAAGAACAGGTACACAGCTAGACACCATCTCAGTTAGCTTAATATCCATGACCACAGCACAACAAGGGCGAACTAACCTGGTAAGATCATGCAAAAGTTCATGGCCGCGTAGATGATAAAGTACCGGTACTTGATCGTCGCAAAGCCCACCGGTGTGACCTCTGCAACCACAAAATTAAACAGCCAAGCTGTCCCCGTCGAGAGCGCGGTGATGGGCACCCTGTGGCTGAGCGGCGCCATCTCCGCCGCATACAGAAAACTCAACCCCAGAAACCCAATCGGGAAAAAGAAGGAGAACATGAAAATCGACATTGTCGCCGCGGCCGTGGCACCTATGTTTGTATGGGGCAAGGAGGTTGCGCCAGCCATGATGGCCATGCAGGTACCCATGCCGACAGCGGAAAACATCATCAGCTTGCGGCGGCCAAAGCGGTCAACCGTAAACGCGCCGACGGGCGACACCAAAAACTGGAAGGTGAACACCGACGCAGCGAGAATCCGCGCCGGCGTGCTCGCCAGCCCAATACCGTCCTCGAAGATCTTGGTCTGGTAGAAGGCCAGCGCGTTGACGCCGCACATCTGGTGGAACACCTGCACCGCGCAAGCCAGACATGTCCTGTGCAGAAGTCTCATCCCTTGTTCACCGTTGTGGAAAACATGGCGGAATTTGGCTTCGCCCGCTTTCGCTAGACTCAAATGGATTCCCTCGATCTCGGCAGCCAGTTCTGGCGAGCTCTTATCCTCGGTGCCGTCGAAGGCGGCCAAGACCTGGCGCGCCTCGTCCAGACGGCCTTTCTTGATCAGCCATCTAGGAGATTCGGGCATGAAGGGTGTTGTGACGATGACGATCATCGCCCACAGGACAGACACGGAGAGGGGGAGCCTCCACGAGATTGAGCCGGGAACACGCTCCATGGCCAGATTCACCCACGAAGCGAGGGCGAGACCGAGACTGATGAACACTCCTTCGAGCATGACCACGGCGCCGCGGTTCTCGGCGCGGCAGCACTCGGCCTGCCAGTTTGGTGCCGTGGCCGTGATGTGGCCAAATCCAAAACCGGTAACAAGACGGCCGATGGCGAGCTGCGGGAGGGAGAACGCTGTGCACTGGAGGACGGCGCCGACGATGTTGACGATTGCGCCGGTTATGATGGTTCCTCGTCGGCCGAGCTTGTCGCCGAGCCAGATGCAGTTGATGCACCCCAAAAAGCAGCCAAGGGTGTAGATCGCCATGATTGTGCCTTGGAGCCCGGAGTTGGTGAGCTTGGCTTCTCCTTCTGTGTGGATTGTGTCGATCTCGGGAAATGTTGCTGTCCATGATGGGAGAGACAAAAGGCCGCCAGCGACTGCGTGGTTGTATCCGAATCTTGTGCGAGAGAGATGAGTGACTGAATTGTGAAAACAAGGGTGTTGCAGGTGAGGGAGGTGCAGCTTACAGGATGTAGCATGGTAAAATAACGGTGAGGTTGAGTGCCCATTCTAAGGACTTGCCTCGGAAACCAAGGAACTTGTGGGCCATTGTGTTTGTTGTTTTTGTCAAAAGTCAAATGGAATAATGTGTTTTGCAACAATGCCAATTGTAGCAAAGTAATAAATAAAGTTGTTTGTGTGAGAAATCACTGCTCCGAAATCCCTCCCTTGACAGACACGTTGCGGCTTTATAACTTCGAATCGCTCGTATTGCGAATCTCAGTGATCGTGATAGTTGCGGTGTTTCTACGAGGTTCGTAGATCTTTTCTCCCAAAAGTTCGGTGACTTCCACCGATCAACGGTGGAAGTCACCGGCTTTCAGATGGCGAAGTGCCCAATTGCGAGGAAATCCGGGCCGGCCTGTCACCGTGTGTCACGCCATGGCGCCTGCAGCGCGTGGCTAGAACCTGCATGGGCGATCCTGCTTCGGCGAGTCCCTTGTGGCTGGGTTTTCAGGATCCGGGGATCCCATTGGAGCATTGTTTGAAGAGATGGTTCCAGACGCCGATTTCGTTTGTTGTTCGATTTTTGCTGATGACTTGGCGTTCTTCTTCTTCCATGTTCTAGGCTTTTGGTTTGCTTTTTGGCGCTAGCTTATCAGTGGGCAGTTTCACAATGTTCCTGATCGTTCGTTGCCTCCGGTGGGGGTCACCGCACTTGTTCACCGCCGCTGATGAAATGGCATCACAAGGTGTGGAAGATGTTCAACACAACGGCCATTGTTTATCTGAACGGAAATACCCCTTTCTTCTTTGCTGGGTTAGGTCTAGGCCTTGTATCCGCACAAGTGGAGATGTGCAGACACATTTCAGACTATCTTTACTCTGTGGCCTTATAGGCTTGAAGCCTTAACTCCAATTATAGCCGAACAAGGGCCCGCTGGCCAAATGGTAAGGCGTCAGATTTCGGTACTGTTCTCTGAAGATTGTGCGTTCGAGCCGCACGTGGGTCGGTTATCATTTTGTTGTTTTCTCTTTTTTTTTTGGAGGGGGGGTAAGGGACAAACAGCATGCCAATGTTTTTGCAATTGACGTACTGGTAGTCTCTTGTTCCGAATATGGTTACAACACACTGTCAACGGTACCAAATCGTCCGTCATTAATAGCCCGGGCCCCACTCGCCGAGGGCAATATTATCAGGGCTGTATTGCAAGAGGCGGGAAAATAACCACCGTCCAGGAGAGTCGCTTAACTTGCTAATATAATTCTCTCGGTATGTTTTATCCGGGACTGGGACCGTGGATACGTATACATAAGGTGGGTGGATAAAGTCAATGACTATTGGTGCTCAACAAGCACGAGACCAGTTCCATGAGACTTCTGGTATAGGTTCAACTATATGCTTTCTGGAGGAGTCCAAACCGTCATATCTCTGTCTGTCTTAGGCACCTGTCATCATGAGATCGCAAACATTTGTCGGGCTGGCAGTGGCCTTCACGGCAAGGACGGTGCATGCCGGGTTTGGTCTCACATCCACGGGCAATTCTTACAGAGTCGACACAAACGGAGGATTGGTTTTCGATGTCAGCAAGTGAGTTGTTTGCTCATCGAATGAGTGCTGTTCTCATTAGGAATGGTGCTGACACACTTGTCCGGACAACAGAACGAATGGCGACATCACAAGTCTCCAATACAATGGCGTGCAATACCAAGGCACCAGCAAAATGTCAGCTCTTAACTCGGGACTCGGGACATCGACAGTGACCGCCGAGACGATCAATGGCTATGTGAAGATCACCGTCGCTGCAAAGTCCCAACCGGTGACACACTACTTTGTCTCAAAAGCAAATGACCCGACCATCTACATGGGGACTTACATAACAGGAGAGATTAACCCTGGAGAACTTAGATGGTTGGCACGACTTCGGAGATCTGTTGTTCCTAACGGCTGGCATGGCGATGTTGCTAATCTCGACGGGTGCACTGCCTTTGAGGGCAAGGATACGTTCAAATGCCCCAACGGGCAGACGCGCTGCAAGATGTATACTTCTGACCGCTTTATTGACGATCAGGTCCATGGTGTGACGGGTAACGTGAGTACCTCTCCTTTGACGTTATCGTTTGGCTAGACGACATTTGAGCTGACATGTGATATAAGAATGTGGCCGTCTGGATGATCATGCCGGGAGTTGCGTACGAGACATCCTCTGGTGGACCCTTCATGAGAGATATCAACTCGCAGAGTGGGGATGATCAAGAGCTGTACTGGTACATGAACAGCGGGCATGTCCGGACAGAGCCCTGGCGCTTTGGACTTATGGGCCCCTACGCGATGCGCTTCACGTACGGTCACAGTCCCTTATTCTAGTTGTCCGTGCTTTACAATGCTAAGATAGTTATCAGAACCGGAGCCAAACCGTCCGGAGACCTCGACACCAGCTTCTTCGAATCTCTCTCCATCCAAGGCTACGTCCCCGCCAGCAAACGAGGAAGTGTATCCGGCACCGCCACCGGTGTGCCCAGCACCTTCCAGACCGTCCTGCACTGGTACAACAATGCGTCCCAGTACTGGGCCATCGCCTCGCCAAACGGAGGCAACTATACATCGCCACTCATGAAGCCGGGCACATACACGATGAAGATGTACCGCGGGGAGTACCCCGTCGCCCAGGACACCGTCACCATCACCGCCGGCGGCAAGACATCCAAGAACATTGCGTCGACCGACCCAAACCCGTCGGTAATGTGGCGCATCGGTAACTTTGATGGGCAGCCGTTTGAGCTCAAGAACGGCGACAAGATCGAACGGATGCACCCGTCCGATGTGCGCATGGGGACCTGGGGAGGAAGTTATACGGTGGGCAAGTCGACACAGAAGGAGTTTCCTATGGCGCTGTTCTCGAAGCAAGGCGGGACTGCGACAGTCACGTTTAAGCTTTCGAAGGAACAGGCTGCGTCGGACAATGCGGTGCTGAGGGTAGGGACGACGCTCTCGTTCAAAGGTGGACGGCCGTCGGTTAAGATTGGGAGCTGGACGGGCAAGGACCCAGGTGCACCGGTATGTTCTTCCTTTACATCTGATGACTTCATCGTTTCCAGAAGGATTTTCGGCTAATTAGTTTCTTGATGGTGGTTGCAAAAGAAACTTATTGATTCCCGGGGTGTCACGAGAGGCGCCTATCGGGGCTATGGCGAGGTGTACACGTGGAAGGTGCCAGCGGGTACGCTTCGCGAGGGAGATAACACGTTGACGCTTGGCGTTTTTGGGTCTGGGGACGCTGCCTTTCTCTCTGCCAATTACATTGTCGATGCGATCGAGCTGCAGGGACCAAAGGGTGCAGACAGTCCCCCTTCTTAAACCTGCGGGGGTGGGTTTGCGGCCGAAGGTACGTGCAGGTGGTACAACAGCTATTTTTATGGTAAAAATTTAATTCAGTTCGATATCCTTAAGGATAGACATGTGCCTTGCCGGTGTTGAGGAATCACAAAGATTTGGTTTCGAGAATTATAAAATCATCTGTTCCTGGGCATGATAGGCGTGCAAAGTACCTCTGTATGACTTCACTGGGCTCGTACCGAGACTGATGTGGCCAGCACGTCAGTGTTCCGGCATAATTAACAACATAAAGACGGGAGAGTGGTTCTTCTCATGTTGGGACCAGAAAATAATTTCTGGACAATTTCTTTGTTGGTGTCAGATGACTTTTTGCAAATTGAACGGCTTTGGACCGGAGACGGAACCGGATTTCGGATTGCCAACGGTCCCAAGGTCCTTCCGAGTTGGTGAGTGATCTGGTCCGAGCCGCGCGTCTTGCTTCCCCGGTCATCCGACATTCTCCTGATCTGGCCAGGTCGGTCGACACTTGCTGCCGGCACGCCGACCGCTCCTTCACTAATTCACTGGAACTGTTCGGAGTCGGGGACACGGCGCCTTCCAAATTTCCCGAAACAATTTTACTGTTCAGTGTTTGCAGTCGGAACCTTTTGAGATTCACCTGCCGTCTGTCCAGTCTCAACAATTGCTAATTGGTCGACTCGGGTTCCGAGATCAGTCCGCCCATCATGTCTTCCCTTCAGTCGCCAACAACAACAACAACCACAAAAACTTCCTTTAAATTCTCCAAGCTTCCCGCCGCCGAGAATTCTAGCAACAACAACACATCCTCCTCCTCTTCCCCAGCAGAAGCCAGCCAAATCATCAAAATCAGCCTGCAATTACCATATCACAATCACCAGTACCATCGCCCAAACCCAAACAATTCCAACCACCTAACCACCAACCTTCCACCCCCACTACTACCAATCATGTCTTCTTCGGAAATGTCGACACGTCGAAAGACCGCTCTAGCAATGGTGGAAGCCTACGAAACACTGGACGTCGCCAAGATCATGGCGTTCCGCACTCCGGAGTGTACCTTTCAGGCTCTGCCTAGTACGTAACTCTTTTCCTCTTGCCCCCCATTCCCTTCTCTTCACGCTAATTGCAGCGTAACGGATGACTGGCAGGATCTATGAACCGCCCGGAAATGAACAACAAAGAGTACGCGGCTCATCTCGGGCAGGTGGTCAAGGCTCTCAGCAACCTCAAGATTGTGGTGGAGGAGGTGTTTGAGGATGCTGCGGAAAACAAGGTGGTCCTCTGGGCGCGCGGCACCGCCGATACCAAGGTCGGCCCTTACGTCAACGAGTACATCTTGATGATTTACTTGAATGAGAGCGGCGATCGGGTTACAAGGTTCTGCGAGTTTGTTGATTCTGCTTTTGTGGCTGGGTTCTTTCCCAAGTTGCATCAGGCTTTGGGGGCTAAGGGCGGTCCTCCCTCCGCCTAGGCTGAATAAGAGGGCGGAAGAAAGGGCGTGTGTTGGAGTGGCTGGAGGGATATGATATGAGCATGCACCGTCGCATCGTCAGCTGGTTTGTTTTCAGACTGGGGAGAATGGGTGTGGCTGAGGATGAGGGCATTAATCGGCGAGACCGCGAGAAGACATGTAGGATACGGATAGAGCTGGTTCATTCGCAATGAAGCCTCGTTCTTTTATTTCATTTTCGGTCTTGACATTTTCAAGCAGTGCGAGCCGTCCATAGAGTAGGACTTCACCGGTCTGATCAAGTACCTTGGTCTCAAGTGTACAATCACATTGCTTCTCAGATTCATCTCTCTGTCATGAGCTTCGTTCTGTCACACCTCCGAACCTCATCGGATCTGCTGCGTGAAGTTGCTCGAGACATATTCCACATCAAAGGGTAAATAGCTGCCAGTTTTGCTCTAGGCTCAAGCCCACTCATCTATAATCCTTCGAATCCTGCGAGGGGGACATGTATAAAGACTGTCTCATGGAACTCGGCATCTACTGTTTACCGAGGTGTGTCGTCGGATTTAAGTCTAGCATCTGATGCCGAATTTGTCATAGCCAGGAGTTAGACGACTGTGATCCACATGCTAGAACTAGTCGCAGCTCGACCTGCTTTAAATGATGCGGCGTAGGGCGGCCGCTAATTTAACCAAGCAAACAACAAGCTTTCATGCACCTCACTGACCTCACTTCATGTATAGCGCCTCAATTTTTCGCCCCAGGGGGCTGGGGTAAGAATCCTGGCGCCCGCTCAACACTACACTACCCATGCGTCCTCAACCCAAGCAGGAAGTTGGTGAAATGACAACTTTAATTTCTTGTGCCACAAGCAGGGCAGTCAGGGGTAAGTAAGCTCAGGTTACATTTACGATCTCCGTGCCTCTTCTTCCCCCTTGTAAGGCAGACTACCTAAGGTAGACAGGATGGCTGCGGCGGCCGCTAGTGTGGATCCATCCGAGTCGACGAGGCACGAGATTGGGAGTTCAGGGTATGCAGACACCCATCTATATAGCATCTTGCCTTTGCTGCCTACTTATCAACTCCGTGGACTTGTACACACCCACAACAACCCTCAACTAACCTATTGTAATTTTCATTCAGCATGGGTATCACGGCCAGCGTCGTCTCGCTGGGGTTCCTAACCTCAAACTATCCCAACA